CCAGAAGACAGAAATCTTCATACTGTATGTGTAGTTTTCCTTCGTACCTGAAAGGAAGGTACGGTAAATGCACATTAGTTCAGTTGTGAATTTGTTGTTGACAGCAGATAGCTAGAGTGTATTGTGTGTAATGGCTCGTATGAGTCTGTTTCTTAGTATAACAACCTCAAAGCTTCATTGTAAGAAAACGTTGTTGGAAAAGGTAAGAGATGAGCTGGAAGGCATTTTTTTGAATCACAGCTTTAGATGCACTATTTCACAATCTAAGAATGCAAATCAGTCATTGTAATGAAGTGTATCCAGATCATAATTACGACAATTGTGTGAACTGTAACATGCCTCTTTCATCCACTGCACATACTATATACCGTGAGCTGAAATGCATGCATATCGAAAACATAAACTGAAAAAGTTTTTAAATTATTAAGGCCTGCGATACGTGGACATACTCTCCTGTTGTAAACGGAGGCAGTCGATAGATCGGACACCTGTTGTGCGCACTGCCGTCTGCAGCTAATGACACTTTTGCTTATACGAGTGTGAAATTTCACTGCGTTGAATTCTGAATTATCTAGGAATTCTTCATTCATACGGAAAATGTGCAGCTCGGAACAGGACGCTGCAAATCGCTGAAGCGGACCATCGATGAACATTCTGGTCGTGAAATGTAATTTTTTAATCTCCTGGTCAATATATTGGAGACATGTTCCATCAAACTTCATTGAGAAATATTTTCCAGAATGGAGACAAGAGACTTGCATCCTGAGATTGCTTTCAAAATGACTGTAACGCGGACATTTGTCTCTAAAGCGGCAAAATCAATATATATTCGAAACATTTTTCTTTCCGTGGTTTCCTCTGCGGTGAGGATAATGTTATTCTGGGTTTAGGCGTAGTGTAGATTGGATGCCAACATAGAATTTTTGGTTTTAACGACGGTGGGTCTGAAGATGGCAACGTTTCGGAGGAACATACTGTCTACATCTTAAGTGCACGTAGATAATGTATGTCTTGAGTTAGTGACTAAATACGGACGCAACTTATGTTAAAGCAAAGATTTTGTTTTCTTAAAAACACATCGTTGTATAAAATTGGAAGGTCATATGTAAAGTTGCCTTATGTCGAGTCGCTTATTGGACGTGGATTTAAATTTTGCGCATTGTAGACCTTGACTGACCACACGATCAAATTTTACCGCACAAAATAAGTGTGCGATGCTCTAAGCCGGTCTTAGTTGGTGTCGAACAAAACAAAATGGAAATCCAACCCGCAGCCAGTCATTTTACTCAATGAGCTATCCCAGCTCACCAAAGAGCTTAACTTAAAAATTGTAGCTCTTTGAAGGCTGTAATATGCCGTATCTTCGTTTTAGCTTCTATGGAAACGTAACAGCAGATGGAACTTTCGCCTTTATCTCTGCCCAAGGCCTTTCATATTTGAGCGTATGCAAAAAAGCGAGGTGGTGAGTGAGCGAGATAAATTGGAATGCATTGACAAGATGTCATGAGTTGGATCGAACGCTGTGGTTGCGTAACCAACAGCTAATTTATATTCTGAACCAAGAAACTGCAGATTACAAAGGAACTAATGAAGTTATTGTCGCGTATGAATATATAACATAGTTCTTTTTGGATTTGTAGGATCTAAGTTCAAGCGATAGAAATCTCTTAACAATACATTCACGAAAATCCTTGAACAGAATTTATTATCAGTAAGCCACATTATTTAAAATAGAAGCAGTACTTTCAGTTGCTTCATATTTAAGAGTTTTACATTCCAGGTACAGAATATTAGATTTGAAATGTTAACTTTCATAAATTTTGTTGAATTCTAATAATGTCCCCCCCCCCCCTTAATGTGAGATACCCGTGGCTCATGAAGACAGAATATCCCGGAGCAAGTAGTTTGGATATCTGTGATGATGCTAATGTGCTTTTTGCAGGTTGTTCCATCTCGCTGCCATTTTGGATATTCTGACGCTTGTCACGCAAGCTGAGGAACTCCCAACTACTGGTGCCAATTTCGTTCACTGGACAGGCAATGAGTCTCTGGAGCTGCAACCGGAGGAAGAAGCTTCATTTTATCCACATAGAAACTCGGGAGCAGTTACAAACTCCGACTCAGGGTTCCATCATAAAATACTTCCTGGACTGGTGGCGTTTGAGCACCAAGACCAAGTCGAGATCAGGTATGAGCCTGGCGAAGTGAAACCGGAAGCCGCGTGGGAGGCTGTGTTGAACATCCAGCCGGAAAAGAACGAGGGTTTCGAACCGCTTCCGGGGTTCGACATCGAGTGGGGCGCAGAATTGCATGGAGCCTGTGATTGCTGGAACACCACGGAGGACGGACGCGATGTGGAGGTGGAGTGTCGCTGTGGTGGCCTCGAGTTCACAGACATCCCAAACAACCTGGCGAGCGACGTCCATCGTATGTAAGTAGTAGGCACATGCTTCAAATGTAACTTGTCTTATGCCTCTTAGTGCGGTCGGTTCCCATTACTTTTGAGGATGACACTGGCGACGATATCGGCTGTGTATGTTTGTACTTAAATATTCTTGTGGGCGACAGATGACACGCAGTGCCATGAAATACTTAAAAGTGACTATGCTTTGAATGATAGGAATTGTTCTTTGTTGTGTTTCGAGGGGAAGAAATAAAGCGTTCACAAAACTTAACCGCTGTCAGTGTTTGTGAACTTGTGGCTTGTGCAAAAAATAGTTTTGTTGCGAGGAGAACGATGTTAACGAAGTATTCTTCTTGGCTTCTTACAGAAAATTGTGTCAATTTTGTTTATGATTGGTTATGAAATGTGTTTTTCTTGAAAGATGAAAGATTTCTGTTACTTGCAAAAAAAGTCTGCATCTTCAAAGCATCATTTACTACTGTTTTCTGCCGGTCTCCGTTTCTACATAAAATGGTTTCACAGAATTAGGGAGTAATTTCAGGTAGTGGCTTTGCACTCAGAGAGATGCCTATCTTAAAGGAAAATGTCTGCTCTTTATTTTGACAACAAAATTAAACCTATATGTAGAATTTGCAAGTGACGTGCAGAGTTGTGAAGTTAAAAGCAAGTTGTATAGGCCTACTTATCTGAAAGTGATCTTCAGTAGGCTAATGCAGTCTCTCCTTTTCCGATAAACGTGACCCTTCAGGTTGTGAAACCTCAACAGAAATGCCTTGTGTCTTCAGTCAGTGGGTCAGACTAGGCCTATGTCGCTTTGATGATTAATTTATAATAAACTGGAAAGGACATGAAAGATCGGTCGTGACCTACTTTAAATAATTAGCTTGGAATTTTGCCTCTACGGACTGAGGAAAGTCACTAACGGCCTGAGTCACGATACGCTGTCTCTTGTCCAAGATCTGAACTCAGGATCACCCAAACATTATGCATGAATGTTAACTACTCGGTCGGTTCGTCCTGTGCGTTGTTTGCTTTAAAAGGAAAAAGAGGTATATTTTGTTCAAGTAAGATACCAATGTTCGTATGTCTTTTCGTATTTGTGGGAATTAATGATGAGAGAGCAGCAGAAACCTAATTTCGCGTATCAGACACGCGTTAAATAAGTTTTTAGTCAGCTAACGACCTATTTTCGGATCCGTAATTTTCGCAATAATTTGCGCAAAGCTAATTACGTTTGTGAAGATGATATACAGAGGGGTATTTAACAAGACATGTGATAAGATTTATTTCTGATTGGCGTTTTAATGTTGTCTTGAAGATTCTACTAATTACTCATGTGATAACAGTACGGAGATCATAAAATACGTACAAAATTTAAGTCGTGAAACCTGAAGTACCCTTGGGAGTTCTTGCCGTATATTGAGTGATAAAGTAAGAATATATTTTAGATTAAGAGCATCTGGGAGTTTGGACTGCATTCACCTGTCTGAAAATAGTGGTGGTCTCGTATGTGGGAACTTCGGAATTTATATGAGGCGGGGAATTTGTTGAACAGCTGAGTGGCGTTAGCTTCTCAAGAAGGACTCTTCTAAGATCAATTGGAACGTGACTGAGGGGTAGCTGTTTCGTTCAAATACAAGGATGTGCGAGGAAACACACGTGCTGTTATTCTGCGACGAACTGTGAGAATTCAGATTCGTACTCCAAGAAAACACACTTCATCTTTGTTATAAACATCAGTGTGATACATTTTAATGAACAGCTGTTTATTCTCGCTACCAAAGTAAACGAACAAACACACTACGTTAGCGAGATTCCGAGTTATTGATTATTAAATCGAGTGGTACATACAGTTACCTCTTTTTTAGAGGATTTATCGAGTTGTAGAAGATTCATACACTTCCAGATTGTCAGAAATCCAATATCGCTGTCAGAATGTGATGGATCGTATTGACATAAATGCACGTTGGATAAAGTAAATGCTTGCGGATCACCCACCAGGAATACGTCATGGGAAATTCTGTGTAGGCCTACATTATGTTGCGGTTAGCGAATGCTGGGCCTAATTCAGTTCCGAATTTTTACTCAGTCTGGATTAAAAAGTGTGTTTACAACCTGTATTGATATCGTTTAACGTTTTAAACTGGCAGTCAGATCCCGTATTCTTACATTTAACATGATATAAAACTCTACTGATCTTGTCTTCGACAACGTCATGCTAGCGTCTGAAGTGAAATTCTGGTTCCAGTCGGTATATTGTCTGGTCTCTGATAACGTAATTATACAACTTAAATCACACTAGTAACTGTATGTACCACATGCTGTAACGTTTTTCACACAGAATGTATTTATGGATTTCCTACGATTTTCAGACCGATACATATCAAAATAATTATCGTCAAATAAATATTAATATCGATTTACAATAACAAATATCGAAACTCCCCGAGTGTTTTCGGTAGTGATGGACAGACACAACCTTCCATAATAAATTCGTTTTACGAAGTTCATTCAGCATAAACAAGCCTGAAGAAATAGGCCTCTGTGGATTTGATACCGACAGATTTCTTAATAGATTTGGTTAGATTTCAGTCTGCCTTTTGCGCCGTGTAGTCTGGTGAGTATTGACCGTCGTTTCAGTGAGCAATGGCTCTGATGATGGAGGCAGTAAAGAACACCGCAATGTCGGCCAGTATCCTGCAGACTACACGGCGCAACCCCCAGAAGATAGCCAGCTTCATACTCAATAGACTTATTACATTTACCACGGAAAATACGCAATAAAGAAAGTTAAACCGGTTGGAGACATCGCCGGGGCTTCAAGGCTTGTACTTCGTTTCAAATTGAATTTCAGGTTTCCGTGAACCATCTTGCTTTCACGGAATGGGGTGGAAGGGACTGGGAGCTGTAATTCTATTACAAGGTCGCGTTGAACAGTACCGCCATTTTGCAGTGTGTCTGTCTGTCTGTCTGCCCTCACCGAATGTCGAACTGTTCGTGGAATTAAATCGAAGTTGAATTGAGCAGAACTTTTCCAACTTAGTCTCTGGTCAGGCGTTAGTCCTATAGCTGCTCACGCAAATAGTTCAGAGCTCTCTGTCATCCCCCATCTCCCAACTACAATGTTACCATAGGCTTCGAAACTAAAATTCCAAACACGTTCTTTCAAGACAATTACTGCCTGGTGGGATGTTGCGCCGTGTAGTCTGCTGGAATTTTTCCGACGTTTTGGAGGCGCTTACTGCCTTCATAATCAAGGCGATCATCGCTGATGGTGTCGGCAAGCACTTCTGATAAGTTGGTAAATTTCTGCCAAACCTGAAGTCTCAGCAAATTCCTTTGTTCCTTAACACCTTAAGCAACACAAAAAATCGTGGATTTCACCGTGAAATTTTTTGACTATTATTTCTTCTTATTTTTTAATGATTTATTTTCATATTCCCTCAAATCAAGGTTCTTCTTTTAAGACGAGATCAAATGTTTACATCCGTATAAAACAATAGGCAGATTACAGTTTTCTGTAACTCATAACGATGGAATACAATTATTTGTGTGTGCACCAGTTCAGAATAGCCTGCGGAGAGCAATTACATCATTTAAGGGACTTAAAAGACGATGGTTGTCTTCTGGGCAACAAACCAGAAGACAGCCATTTTCAGACTCACCGCCGTGAAAACCCCAAATCCTACTGACTTAAAAGAAAATTTATAAGTTGGGATAAACGTAATGCAATATAGATCTTTCATAGATCATTGCTCCTTATGTTTACAAATGTACTTGCAACATCATACATAATAATTGTAATAGGTCTAATAATAACATAATATATTTTTCATTATTATAACATTGTATAAGATAATTTAATAGTTATTCAGCAGTGAATTACGTCGTCTTCCACTTTCAAACAAATTAAAACAAAGTTAATTACACTTTTAATTATGTACAACGAAGTGTGGATTGAAATAATTCAGAGACCCTGAAGCTCTGTGGTTAATAATGCAGACCTGCAAACAACTTCTCTTCGTCACTATTTACTTTCTGCCTTACAATCTACCCAGAAATGATAAATTTAAACCTTGTTTAACAATACCATGTTTTGAACATGACATTTTTAATGCTACGTTTCCTGGTATCTTCATACGCAGTTCTGCCTACCTTCAGGATAATTTCGTCTTCTCTCTTCTTCTCACGTTTACACGTTTTTACAGTTCACTAAAAACTTGAAAACCTTATGATTTGATGCGGAATCTTATTGTTATTAGACAGTAATCTACTTTATTACTGTAGGTTGCTGTATGAATAGCAATGTATAAGGAGCATTGCGTCCCTCAACTTTCGACAGGCTTTACTTCTCCATAGGGATTCCAGGATAAAACAGTTTCGTCTGTGAAACTTCATGGGTCGTTAGGTAGCTTGTCTCCATACAATCGGCGACGGATAGCGTTAAGGAAAACTCACATGTGCGCGTTGAATTTAATCTCCACCACCATTTCCAACAACACCTGTCTTTTCATAAACTATTCAGTTACGTGGTTTTCCCATACCTTCCTTTACAAATGTAGTAATCTCAACTATTTTAACTATCTCAGCTGTATGTTAATATTTTCTTTTAAACACATTACATTTACTACAATATGGTAATATTTTTATTATCTCACTAACGCATTCATTCGCTCACTGATTCTATGAAACAGTCCTTCTTGAGAAGCCCATAGTCGCTCAGCTGGTCAAAGTTTTGTCACGGTTTTTACAAGAGCCTGTCACTTAATGTTATCTTGAGTCAAAAATATCTATTTTGCATTCTGTTACTACCTTTACGTTATGATCCATCTTAATATTATCCTCCCACCTACATCTCCGTACCAGGGTTGTCTCGTCCCTTCAGGTTTTAATCCCAAAAAATTTGTATGTGAGATTTGACTTTCCCATGGAGGTGAAGATTCATTCGCGGTATTGCGACGTAGATGATTACCAACGCTTCGCAGGAATGTATCACATCCGTCTTCAGGATGCAAAGGAGGTACATTCTTCTGAAACGTTTGGTCATTACGTACAAAACCACATGGCATCACAAACCAAAATAAAAAATTCGAAGACTTTTTTCATACACCTATCCTCTCAAGCGTACCACGTGACTCGCACGTCCACGCTGATTTGGTCATCTTAATATTTGGTAAAGTGTAGAAGTTAATTACTCCTAGACTCAATATATTCACCTGGATTCGAACCCTTTTCGATCTTGTAACCCTTACTATTGCAGTCTCCCTGCCCTGGTTTTGTTCTGTCGTACATAGATGCAGCTTACCGTGTCTTACATATCCTTTCCCTTAGGTCAAATACTATTCTGTATAAAGGTAGATTATAAATCATGAAAGAAACTACAGGGAGTGGAATGGGGCAGGATTTTTCACCCCGTCATCTGTGTGGAAGACTTGAGGTTAGGATCCGTAACAATACTTTAGCTGATTAGCATGTTGTAATTAGTTTCCTTATTTAAAAGTCTAATTAAAATGAAGCAGGAACTTCCGATATTAAAATACCTGCTTCACATGTAACGTTCCTGATATTTGACCCAGAAACGTGGAAATATTAAGAGGAAGTTGTCAGAGCAAAATCCTGCCGTTCAGAGCTAATCGCTTTCGGTTCCCAGAACACGAGACTTTTGGCGAAACATGATTTCGGCTTTCACTGAACTTCCCACAATATCCCAGGCCACAAAATAGTGGGCCCTGTTGCGTTTATGAAAGTCTGAGACTGCTAATAATGACCGTACTGGCTTTCTGTTCGAATTTCCAATATGTTGAAAAACATGAAGCCCTTAATGATGTGTAATGTCTTATTCCAGGAAAAGAGCTGCCAGTGTTTTTGCAGTTGCAAGCGACCTACATTATTGATCCTTCAAATCTTTGATGATTTCCTAGAATGTTTTGTTATTAAAAATATATTACCTGTTTGTGCATTACACAAGCATATTAAGCATTTTTAATCTTCTATGATTCATATGAAAGGGAGTAGGAATTTGTTTCATTGGAGCCGTGTGATTTTAAATTACAAGAACAAGTAAACGAAGATTCTAAAAGGAGAACTGCAGAGAACACGTGAAGACCACGTGGGCTAAATTGTTAGAGCCTGTTTTTTTTATAATATTACAGAACCGTGGTACATGCCGGGATGCGGGTGCTGAGAGAAGGAGTCTTGCAGCATTACAGAGAGACGCTCAGGGAAATGTAAGTGACGTTCTGACAAGGTTCTCTTTAAACTTGGTGTCCCGAATGGTCTGACAATCACACGCAATTATGGTGGTTCCTGAAGAACTCAGTATTCGCGCGTCGGCCGAAGAGTGAATCGTGGAACTGCGCAATCTATTTCTAAAGGTGGGGTGGGAGCTATGTCATAATAGTGTTTACTGATTTTGCTCGCCGTTTGCGAGCAATTCAAGAACTCAACGGACATACTGAGCATGTAGACCCTTTTAAGCATGAATCCAAGAAAAATGGTGTTAAATAGGATTTGACACATTACACTTTTTAATACATAACACACTTGTTACCATTTCATGGCCCATTCTGTTTGTTTTGGTGATTGTGACCAGACACGAACTCTGAACACAAAAAGACTGATGTTCGGTGGTAATTGGAAGAAGTTAAAAAAGTATATGTTCTTATTTGGGATCATTTTGTAAACTGTGCTTTTGCGGAAAAGAAGATTAAGTCGCTAAACATAACTTTTCTGAAGTAGAAGGAATATGTCTATACAATAACGAACATGACTCAATAAATCTCACAACACTTTGGATAATCCAAGTGCGATGTTTGGAACAAGTGTCCCTATGTTGTATGTGGTATTATTCTGTGAGCGAACTAATAAATCATTCAGCTGCAAATGTAAAGACTTAACAGGTAGTTGATAGGGCCGTGTTGTAGCACCAGTGCCATCTATATTTGTCGGACTGAATTACAGAGGAAGATTAACGCTAGGATGATTTAGAAGGGGGATAAATCTCTTATTCGCCTTCCTTTATCCGCTCCTCTCAGAACTGTAACCGAAGTTGATGGTTTGTGCAGTTTCCGGAAACTTGTGACCACCAACTGGTCTGCAAATATCGTTTCTAGAAACGAAACGCCTCAGGTCTGACAGTACATGATATCGAAGGAGAGGAAAAATAAGACGGATCTCAGAAAGGAGTGCAGATAAGCAGGTTTAGTCTCCTCGAAGCGGGACACAACAGATTCACATACACGGGCGTTTACTAACAACTGAGCATCATGAATGTTTCAAGTTATTTCCTATCATTCAGTCTCTATTTCAACCCGTGTTTTTTTTAGGTTCTACGAGCAGAAAATGTATAGTTAAATATATAAAAAATAGGTCTAATAGTTATATTTTAATAGATGTTACCTAATTTTATTCTACTAGCAGAGGACTGGCCTGACATTGATGTAAACCATGGCCTAACCTTGACATGAAATTGTACTCTCTCAGACAAAAGGTTCGGCAAGTAATCGCATGTATCTTTTATAACCTTGACATGCCCTTGTAATTTCAAATGCCTCTACTATGCAGATGAATGTCCTGACATTGATGTTACTCAGGCACGACCTTGACCTAACCACGGCCTAATCTTAACATGAAATTCGCGTCTCCCAAGCATATGGTTCGGCAAGTAAAAGCATGTCTTTTCATGACCTTGAAATTTCAGATGCCTTTACTAGGCACGGGTGGGTTCCTCCTGTCTTGTTTATATGCAACAGGTATCTGCTAGAACCTAGGTTATACACACACATTACCTTGACGACAGTGTTCCATGCTTTTCCCGCGTCTTTCCAGGAAAATATTGCAAACCATTCTGCTATCAAGGTGTCATATTTGACATGAAATATACAGCTATTAACAGCGTCGTTCAATAAGTTTTGTGTTTCAGTGTGCTGAACAATGTTCGCCAGCTCCACAGTATCGAGTCCCGCTCTTTCCAGAACCTGACGGAGCTCCGCACAGTGTAAGTACGCCAGAGAATGGAAAAGATATTACCAAAGACGTCTGATTGAACTCACAGTACTACTTTGTTCCTCATAAATGGCTGAGTTTTGCCTCGTTATGAACTGAAAACTGTTTATATTAATACAAACAATCAGTAGGTTTGTAACGCAGCCGAGCATTATTAGCTTGTAGTGTGTCCAGTTCCACAGTAGAACTCTAAAGACGTAAAGTAGCTTACTAAAAGTGGGGGCAAAATTTTGTCAACGATAAGGACGTAATGTACAGAATGTCCCAAAAAAATATGTAAACACATTATAGTACGGAATATTAAAATTGTGTGTATATATCTTTTTGGGACAGCCTGTATATTTTGTGGTGTATTCTGGTGCCAGCCTATGAGCAAAATGGCAGCTTAGCCCAAGACATCCTGTTGTCTGCATGACGCAGGAACAATTGCAACTGTGTGTTAGTTGATTTCTTGTTTCAGGTACATAAACCACGCCCCCTTGCTTCGGAAGATTCCAGAAAACGTGTTCCGCCAGTATTTGCCCAGTCTTCGGAGCCTGTAAGTGCCTTCGTAACAGTGAACGAAGTTGACAATCCTGTTTCATATTTGGAAATTTCCGGTTTTGATTCTTGATCCACAGTTACCCTACCATTTTGTTGGATTTCTTCAGTGCCTCCAGTGAAAAGGTAGGATAGTATCTGGAGTACGCCATTATTGTTCCCTTCTGTTATCACTTCTGCTTTGTATTTGGGGATTGAAATTGTTAAGAAACTGCACGATTAGAATCGTGGGTACAGGAAGATAAAACGAGAAACCTCACCTATTTGTGATGTGGATTAATAAGTTTATTTTTCCCACAACACTATGATTTTATTTGAAAGTAGCGTGACGATGTCTCCTGTCATGCTATTGTTCTAATTTTTCGCTTCCTAATTGTTCCCCTTTGTGTCGTCTGGTTCGTAGGAAGTGTGAGTGCGTAAACAATATAAAGAAACTGGCAACAATGAACACACTATCGGCAGGGGAATCACATACCCATCGCATTCCAGAGACTCGTGCTGTTCTTAGATCTGTATTCCGGAATTCCTCAGACCGCGCTCTGTCAATAATTGTTACCTCTGACCTTATACTGAATATACACAAAGGAGGGAGCTGTGTGGATCACAAGGGGATCTTCAAGACCGGTCTGATGTTCTTGTGCACTTAATACAGCAAGTTGGTAAATCAAAGCAATAAGACCTAAGGAAGCATCTAACTGCGTGTAATATCTGCCTGAAATCAGAGTACTGGCAACATTCCACAGTTAAGCGATCAAAACACAGGCTTTGTGGGCGAAATTCATCCGATCGACTAACTGTAAAACATTACAAATTTATTTCCTATCTGTTAACGATGCATCAGTTATGCGCCTTTGGTAGGGGAGGGGGAACTGTGAGTAACAAACTGGGTATGAAGTGGTCGCGGCCTATGGCACATGGCTGTGGATGGGCTGAGGAAAGGTATAGAAAATCGGTGATGTTAGCGGACGACTACGCTGTTTAAATCGGACCCGCGCCCATTACAATGTTTGTAGGAGGCCTAAGATCTGTTCCACCGCGCTTTGTGTCGTGAAACAAAGCGATGAGTAAGTCTACATTTTACGTGAGAGGAATTATTCGGGTAAGTCTGCACGTTTTGCAATTTATTTTCGTACCCCAAATCTTAGGTTGATTTACAAAAGAAGAACCTCACAGAGCGGTGATCCAAGCTGTGCCTCCGAACTGTAGGTCAGACTTAATTTGATACCTTTCGTGGAATGCGGTAGAAATCTTGCTCTGTTGACCTCAGGTTACAATACGTTTCTTGTTCCAGGCGTATTGTTCACACGGGGCTTGAGGAGATTCCCCAGCTACAGCACCTCCGAGTGGACTCCATTTTACACATGGTGTGAGTACTGCATCTCCTTTGAGTTTTTGTATTCGATAGCCTTGTTAGTTTCGTCGTCTGATTTCCAAAATGTAACAAAATGAACGCTCAGCCCCACTGAGACTAATCGGACAAACTGCAGATCCGCTCTCCATTCCCTAAGACCGCTTCTCCACTCGTAACTTACATTTTGATGCAATCCTCCCATTTACGCCATAAACTCAGTCTATCGCTGTACATTGTCTTTATAGGATGTCAGTCTTAGCTGTCACTTGGATTAATGGCATAAACTATCAGCTCCATCTGCGTACTGCAGACTTGAGTTATTACAAACTACGGCTGTTTATTTCAAAGGCATTGGTATCTTCCTTTTCCCTCCTTCTTGATCTCCCTGTCGGTTGCTTTCAATGAGGTTTCAGGATGAAAATTTTGTATGCATTACTTATCTTTATACAAGCCCAGCCCATCGCATTCTTTTTTATAGTATATTTTCCATTCGTTTAATAAAAGTATACATTAAAATTTAGCCAACCTTAATCATTATCTTTCGTTTTTAAATAAAGCCTACAGTGCAGATTTCACAGATAATGGTTGTGGTCTCAAAACATATATTTATCTAAAAATAAGGAAGAATTTGTTTTTACAGTTAGTGGATATGAAGTGGGATAAAATTGAAAATTGTATCGTTCTTTACAACAACGCTCATGCCGGGTTTTCTATAGTGCTTACAGCCATTCATGTAACGTGAAATGTTACATGCGTAAAGAATGCCTGATGTTTTGTAGCCCTGGCTTATACCGGCTGGCAGAACAAGGTCTATATTTAGTTACACGCGTTATCGTATATTGTCAGTTCGGTTAGCTGTAGCACGTGTGTTTTCATCGGAAAGCTAAAAGGAATGTTGAAAATCGGGTATACGAGTAAACGAGATGGACTTTTCAGTATATAATCGATATATAAAGTAAGTGACAGGATATAACGTAGTAAATTGGATACGCACCAATAGATCGGTGGCGTCGCTACATAAAACTAACATGGCAACACCGAACCCAGTTTCCGGTTTTGTGCAGAATATAACATAAAGGCTTCATTTAGTATTTACTCCGAAACAGAAAAGCAAATATAGATTTCATATTGTTATTGTAAAATACAGACAAACATTATCTTAAAATATCCACATTTTTCTGAGTATATATAATTTTTCAAGATTTCAAGACCTTAATAAATGTCTGCTCTTTTCTTTCCAACTCAGACGTTCGCACCACTAATTTGTTTGTATCACTGACGAAAGTGCTCTTCTCCCAGTTATTTTAATAAAATGTACTGATATAATAATGAAATGTGTTATTCATGACAGCCTTATGAATCTATACCTCCATTAACCATTTGTTTATTATTTATAGCCTTGGCTCTGTATATTAATAGATTTATTATTTAATGAGAAATGTAAAACATGAAATTATGAAATTATGAAATAAAAAATGAAATTATGTAAAAAAAACAGACGAAGGACAGTTGCCCGCTAGCCACGCTGTATTTGTGAATATATTTTAATGAGAATGTGTTTATTTGTTCAAACGTTAACACAAGCAAACACACAAGTGAGACAATTCTTTACAATAAAATTAATTAATTTTAGTCTTCGCCATGATGCGGGGATGTCTTATTGTAAAACCTTAAAAGAGAATTTTTGTTACGTCCGGACACACTACCAACTCAAATCCCGTACAAATTTCAAAGAAAGTTCAGTAGTCCGCATGGCTATAATGCTCACCAAATACACTAGCACAGTGATGCATATGGATATTAGTTTTAAAATTACTCACCGCAGGGGAAATATGATTATTCTCTTGGACTAATATTAATTCACGTGTAACATTACATGATTCATAATATAAACCTACTCAGATTTTAACTTCAATCAAAATTTACGTGGTAATTACCATTTCAGAATCGAGCCTCCGAAATCGAGTCATGACAATGAACCTACTAAATTTGTTGAAGGTAAAATGTTATTACGAAATTTAAGAAATCAGTTCACACATTCGATAAATATTACATCTGATTTCGACCGAAGCAAATGCCATTACAGAAGTTTAGATAAGCAAGATTTAAGTATATTTCCAAATTCAGGATTTTATGTACTGACAGTCGCGTTGAGTGCATTAAGTATGCAACTTAAGTTCTGATTGCAGCCTTCGCTATGTTTTGGACATTTTCAGGTAAAATGGATTTTCCTGCCGCTCAGATAATCCTGTTCAGGAAACTGTATGGCTTGTGTCTACTGAACTATCGCTGTAATTACAGTTTGATTCGTTTAAGCTATGGTGGATTACTGCGGTTTAAATTGAACGCATAAATACATTTTAAACCATTTTTTCTATTCATATACGGAGAAGCAATATTTGCACTGGCGTTATAAGTTACTCATTAAATAAATTATTATGTAGCTTATGAAGGATATGTTTAAATTTTATATATAAGACAAAAGCTGCCTTCAAATTAAAATAGAAGTTTTTGAAGAAGTGTTTTGGTTTAACTAGAAGTTTCAATGACTCTTATTTGCGATACTCTATTGCGCAAATGGTAGGATGATTAATGAATGATGAATTGGAAAGGATATGGAAGGAAGCGGTCATCACAGAGAACAAGTCATTATTGTGTCTCTTGAACGATTATCGCAGAAATTCTTCATAGGATTCCGTACATTCGTTCTTCTGCTGCGCTTACGATAAACGTACTTAATCTGACTCTGCTGTTAAACAAAGGACGAATGACATCGCTTCCGCCTGCAAGATCCCTAACTTTTCATTCAAGTAGGACATACACGGCTTCAGAATTTACATTCGTTTCAGAAAATGGACGTTTAGAAGAAGCTTTTGCATTACAACTGGTTACACTAATTCGTGAACTTTCCTAGAGTTCTGAGTGGTATAATAGCTGGCATCTTAGGCGTGGCCTCTGTTCAAAAGCAGCATTTGAGAGCTGGTCTGATTTTCCTTTGTTATAGGATTTAACGATCCAATCTTATGCTGTGAGCATAGAAGGGTCTTCCTCTATTTCGTCATTGGAAATGGCGCCGAAACCTTAGAAGGACTGACGTATTGCCAACTGGAGAATCATATTTTGCATTAACCGTCGGACTGGTTATAAGTAATTACCTAACTGATATCTTACAGTATACGTTCTGAAAGGTCGATACACGTGAAAATATTCAATAAATTCCTTGTTGCTATCTAAATGGACGGTTCATCACTGTCATCACAAAAGTCCGCCACTGGTTGTTGTGTTTATGTCGGACGGGCAGAGGAGAAATGCACTTTGCCACTCCTCCCCCCGCCCAAGATAATTTTGGGAGCAAAATTTTCCAGATGGTGTTTTCAAGCTATAGCACCGAGCTTCTGTTCTGTGGACTTGTTTTGGTCTCATATTTGTTTCTTGTCACATCGTACTGCTTTGTGCAAGTCTTCGTCCTTGTTTGACATGGAGAGAGCTCCCTTGTTTTCTTTTGATGTTAATTACAGACCTACAGGAACTTATATCGTAACGTAAAACTTACATTTTTTTTACTTTCTTTGTGTTTAGAATTTTTAAAAGTGTGTTGTCTGTGTAAGAGGGGAACTGCGCCGTTAGAGACAGATGTATTACAGCCGCGAGCTTAAAAAATCCGGTGTCAGGCGGATACAGTTCTCTCTGTAGAGAACTGAATTCAGTGAATGAATTAATGAAGTGGTCATATTAGGATATACGTTCTTGGCTGAATATGAACTCCTCAAAATGGACTCTGGTCCGTGGAGTTATTTATTTAAATATGATGCTTGTGTTTTTGAATTTATTGGAATCCTGGTGTTCATGGTTGGGAGTGATTGTAGCGGTGCTCCACAGAGCGACGGTGGATTCTGGGTCCCCATTCACAGCCCGCACGATGAATGTTAACGACATATGAGAGTACAGTATTTCACGGTACGTGTGGTTTGAATGTAGTCTGCATTTAGCGCCAGTAACACGCCCACGGCCCGCAGGAACGAAATTGAATTTTGACGTACAACACAAACCGACTGTCATAACAACCTCCGTAGAGCAGAATCTTTCTTCATAATTTAAATATTAGCTCAGTTGATAAAGAATTCCCTTTACGTTTATCGGACCTGAAGTTTCGTTATCATGTTCACAATAACTCACCCTTTGAGCCACCATAATTTAGCCCACTTCACACATTTTATTACTTTTAGATTCATTTTAATATTATTATCATATCCACAAGCTCTAACAAATATTCTCTTTCCTTATATTTTTTTAACTAAAATTTTGAATGCATTTCTCATATCCCATGCGTGTTTCATGCCTCGCCCTTCCCATCGTCTTTGATTTCATCGACTGTGCGTTAATCTCGTTGTTATGCATTCTATTATATTACTTTTATTACGCGTCCTAGTCTAACTAGATAGAGGACGACCAACACAATGTACGGTATACTAAGAGGTGTTGCTTTACTTTAAAATGCACATGTTTCAACTAACTTCATCGTCAAAGTGTACGCAATATATGGCACGACTATCATTAAAATATATTACTTTAGATTTTCGTTTCAGAATCAAAAGAATTTAAATAGTTTGAATTGTAACATAAATATTTTGATTTCAGTTATAACTAGACTACTGGCATCTGTTTACATGTTCAATAAACATGGAATTATTGTAAAACCAGATAATGATTGGATCAATTTCAATCATATTTTATTTTAAAGTTCGTGTCTGCTCCTGTCATGATGTTTGTTGAAATGTGTTGTGGATTTTAAAACAAAATGTTATTTAATATAATTTATTACGCGTTGTGTTGGCGGTCTCCTAATTATCTACATTACAGGACGCCCGACATGTGCTGAACTGCAGGCGTCATACGTCTAACCTTTATTGGAGTCGTGCTTTATCACACTGAGTAAATGCGGAAGTGTGAAAGCAGTTCTTCAGCGTGGGTCTGCGATCCCTTGACCTTACACATCTCGACTTTCACCCACGGGGCAGGCTTGTTACGATGGGGAGCTCGAGGGGCTGGCAAGGCCCCTTGTTTATTTTTTTATCTACTTTTATGTATTCTTTTTTATTCGCACAAAAAAATATCTAGTGATACAGCATCATGAAACTATCGATACATCATGCCCGTTCCAAGTGTGGAGGGCAATTGCGAGTTGGCTCGTCTCGTAACATCACATGGAACAGGCTTGTGTTATATGTATGAGTCATTACTGTGTGAGTCCCTTGTTAACAAATTGGCAGTATACGTATCCCTGCTGTAGGACCATCTGAGAGCCAAGGCGTATGCTGAGAAAGCCCGCGATATCGGGCTCTTTCATGAGCGAATTATCGCTGCATTCAATGAGATAACACCACAAACAATTCTCATCGTTATGAACTGCGTCGTATGGTTCCAGAATTAGGGGAGAGTCAGTCGCAACGAACCTTATTTGGGAAAATGCACAAATTGTAAGCTCCTCATTTTGAAAACTTCTTCAACCACGTTCCGTCTTCCCTCTTAGGTCTAATATTCTCCTCAGTAACCCGTTCTTAAGCAGACTGTTATAAATATTTAAATCGAAGTAACTACCTAACCAACAGTCTGGCAGAGGAATTCAAATGTTTTATGTCGCTGATAACACCGGTAGCCATTTTGGAAGGATACTGAGCCAGTTTATACTCAACGTATCATTTTTAATATGGCTCAGAATTATCCTTCATTATCCTTCTAGATTTTCCAAATGTTCTTTCTCTGTAAGTTTCTCTAACAAAACATATTTTTAGTTTTCCTCACCACATTCACTTAGTCGTTTAATATTTAGAAATCACGAAATTGCGCACCGAATTAAACGTTAGTAATTCATTGTTTCAGAGACTTGGAAAACAATCATATTCGACAGGTGCCAACCAAATCTGTCAAAGTGCGGACCGAACAATTGTAAGTACTCATATTTGGCCTTTAGTGCAATAATTATCTAAGGGCGGGGTGTAACAGTGACTTCGCCCTTAACTTTCATGAAGTTCAAATCGAACTTCGTCACGTTTATAAGAATGGCTCGTCTTTCAAAGAATAACTCAACATAAGAAAATATGTTAACTTAATGTCTAAAACTCCTATTTAAAACTTTTTATATTTTTTATTTTGTTGATGAAACAAGTGCAAATCATGCATGATCTGTAGCTTTCGCGGAGACTAAATTCAAGATTCATTTGAATAAAAATTTTCTTGGATATTATCCATCGTCTAGTAAATCAAATATAAAACGTAAACGACGTTTCGGATATGGGGTTCTATCTCCGTCTTCAGGTTCCTACACAGTTGGGCCCACTAGATAGAGCTAATTAAGATCATCTCTGATGAGGAGGACGGAGATAGCTCTTAAAACGTTGGTTTCTAACAACCGTCTGACGCGGCTGAGTGCCCGTGAAGACTATTCAAATGCCAATCAGTTTACGTGCAACAACACACAAATCACAACTGGCATCTCTGGCAACGGGACAGTTACTTGAAGTATCAGTTGCCAGGAACTGTCCTCACGATGTCACAGCCGATTACGGCCTTCATTTGTTGATGTCCCCTTACCAACTGCAGTTAAGGAATTTCTTAATATAAATTGTATAAAAAATTCCAACCATCTTCCTCGTTTTAATTCAGCATAGCTACATAATATTAAAACTCTAGTGGCGTTCCATACACTTGTCTTCCCGTCTGAAAGAAATCGTTTCTAGCGTTGAAAACCGTCATAATTTCGTTTCCAGTTTCTCATGGGAAGTGTACATTAAATATTTTCACCTGAAGTTCATTTTAATTTGAGCTATTAAACTAAAACGCCTCCTTAAGTAACACTGAACCTGATATTTCTTTAAGATGGCGCTCTTTTTGGGTTTTTTCGTCATGTAATCTAGTAGGAGTTCACCGATGTTTCAGAGATACTTGCTGCCTCCATCATCAGGACGATTTGATTAGAGTTTTGTTATGTCAGATGTTAAAAATAATTTTGTGCAATAGATACTTGCACTTACATGACTACTTAACACTACAAAAAATGTTTAAATGTTCTAAATTTTACTAAAATGTGATCGCAGTTGAGGGACTGTTTTTTTAGAGCATGCTACATTCTTCTGTGCGTGACGGTTGCTAAGGAACAGGGTCGTTGCTTTCAGGAGAACAATATTCGAGAATTGCTCCTACATGTTTGCTTTGGGATTAAACCAAAGTGAAATGAACTCCTGCACCTCACATTTTGATATAAGACGCTGTAAGATGTTCTATGTCTCGGGGGACTCCGTATCTGTAGCGGTTAGTATCGCTAATCCATCACACCGTCACTGCGTGCCCTTTCATCATAGTCTGCGGTGCCTTGTCTGTGAGATACGCCTAATTACATCCGACAGAAATGTAATTAGCAACATCACTCTAAAGTATCCTGTTCACATTTTCGTATACTGCTATCCCTGAAGCGGGTGCTTCAGGGGCGTGTCTTGTACTCATGCGCGCGCGGTCATGTAATTCCAAACGCGAGGAAAACACTGAATCCTTTGTTTGTAATTTTTAAACCATGCACCCAAACAACTTTTTTTTTTTAAATCATGCCTTCAGTTCAGTTTATTCAACGAGATAAAAGTGTTGTATTTAACAACTTTCTGTATGCAAATAAGTAACTTCACCTATAGGGTGATATTAAACAGATGATTTTCGTTATGCCTGACTCTGTTTATTTAGGTATGCTGTCAGGTACGTAGGCTTGCAATACGCTATAAATCGAGGGCACATGAGCTACATTGCAGGGTGACAGCAGGTGATTGGACAACGTTTTCGTTAGCACACATTAATAGGCATTTTTGTTATGAAAATAACTTTCTGAGTCATTGAGATTTGCACAAGTGTTACAACGGAACGTAGTATGTAGTCCTATTACACGGATGCTTTTAACTTTTATTTACTACTTTCTTTATTGCAAGCGAATTGTTAGCGAGATACGCCCAAAAGTGTTTTAATTCATTACAAAATAAAAATTCGGTAATTAGCAGTCTTATAACTTGTCATCAAAACTTATTAAAAGGCTTAAAGGTATATTTAAGTGTTGTTTTAGGCGTTTGACATAACACAAAAAACAAACCACAATATTTAAAAGCTTACCAGAATTTAGAGTGCTTCAAGGAATCAAAATTTAATCGAAATTTTGAACTGACGGTTGATAGACTTGCATTTTTCGAATTTCTTTTTTAATCACTTTGAAATTGGAAATATGGCAGAGATGCAGAAATCTAGGCAATACGGTGATGTAGCGTAATAGCTTACTTTCCGTTTCAGTCTGCTGAACTACAACATGATAGAGCTGGTGCAGAATCACGCTTTCAGCGACGCAGAGATTGCGAGGCTGTAAGTATTCCCCATATCACATGACAATCACTGATTGCAGTTCCATTATTTTAGAAAAGGCATTTGTCTTCGGTGCTCCGGACTGTTTAACTCTGCGTGAAACGTTCTCAGTAACATGAGGTTAATAAATCGGGTTTTGAAACGCGTTCGAATCTGTCATTAATATATTTATTTAAGTTCATAAGATTGTGTCGTCATAACATTGGCATTAGTACGGGAGCATCGTTTGGATAATAAAATCGGGTAATAAAAGCCCGATATGCTTTTCCATAATTTTAACATTTACGAGAACAATTACAAAATGTAAATGTACAACATGTTCTTATACACCGCCCGTAGTTTATGTGGGTTATAGGAAATTCTGAGTCGTGTATAGTCTTTAATTTAGAAATGAGATATGAACTCTGCATTACAGCAACGTGACTAAAACAAAATTATGCGCTTGATTACGTGGACTGGATCAAAGATGGTACTTTTCCAAAATGTTCTTTTTCCGGGGGGAAAAAAATAGGCTACTGTTTCATGTTTACAATCTTCGCATTTCCGATGAGCTCAGTGGAGTTTTACGACCTCAGACCTTATCTATCTTTGCCCGTATATTGTGCTTTACTGCCCCACCCGATGTCTGGTCTCCAGAAGTGTAAGGAATGGAGAGAAGGTGACCTGCTTATGCAGTCCATAAACATCCGATGAATTTCTGTTGGAGTCAGACTTCTGTAAAGATGTGTTTGTAAAAACTAAAATGACATGAGTATTAGTGGACCGTAAACAGAGATCCTGTATATTTTTTGGCAAAAGCTATATTTCAACATCTCTCTGCTAGCGTGTTTTCTCCTTGACAGATATTACGAGGTCATCAAACCTTGGGAATTGCTTCTAGGAAATCGTATCTGAATTTATGAACTCGCCCATGGCAAAGCCCCGAGTTTCTGGAGGTTCTCACTGCAGCGAGTATGAAGATGGTTGTCTTCTCGGTTGTTGTTCCGTGCAGTTTCAGGGCATCCCCCTGATGATGGAGACAGCAAGCACATCTGAAACGTCGGCAGACTTCTACCAGACCACGCAACGCAACCGCGTTGAAGACAGCTATCTTCAAACAAAACGCTAATGAAAAATGATTGTACACAGCTAATTTAGTTAGTAGGGCGCTGTTGCTAACGGATGGACGGACTTGAAGCTAGTAGGCGTGTTTCGAATTGTTTTGTTCTAAATTCAACCAAAAAGCCTCTTTGCGAAGAGCCGGTGTCTCGGTTAAGACTTGAGCCGAGTCGTATTTTCCGCCTTCTTGCTCGGTCGCTTTATTTGTATAAAGGCCACACATTGATTTTCCAGGCTGGAACATTTTCCGCGCCAGTTCCGGTGACTGCCGCAAGCCACATTCCGATATATTTTCGCTGAATTCTGTGTGGCCTGCTGTTTAAACAGTTTGATCCCCTCCCATCAACGTTTCTGATAAAGTGTTCCCTGGATGCACTTGTAATGCGCTTTAAATGTGGGTCAAGGAAATAAATATGCTCCAGTTACCTGAGCGGCTAGATGGATTTCGATATAATACTACGTACACGGCTAAATGCTGAATTGCGGCTGTACCTAGCTGTACTCGCAACGACAGTTATGGTCTGAGTCTGGAAGAATACGAATTGATTGCGGATATCAATATTTGTGTAACTAAACGATTTTAATACGAGTTTGTCTGTGGAACGGGAAGATTATTTTGTTAATAGAAGTAACTGGTCAGCTGTAAGAAGACGCCAAATGTAAATCGGCACAACCAGTAATGGGCCTCAAAGGAGCAGAAAATTCTATAACAATAATAATAATAATAATAATAATAATAATAATACCAAGCTGCGAACGAGATCTGGAAAATGGAAGGTAGATATTTTTTCTTAAAAGTTTAATAATTATTTAATGGTATTATATAAATATCCGAATAAACTGCTTTAATCAAATCTAAAAGTTCTTGACGATGGTGATGAGTCATTTGAATAAAAATTTTCTTGGATATTATCCATCGTCTAGTAAAATAAAATATAAAACGACGTTTCGGAGATGGGGCTCTATCTCCGTCTTCAGGTGCTTACTCAGTTTGGCCCACTAGATAGAGCTAATCTCTAGCTCCGGACTTAGAGTAGGCACCTGAAGACGGACATAGAGCCCCATCTCCGAAACGTCGTTTTATATTTTATTTTACTAGACGATGGATAATATCTAAGAAAATTTTTATTCAAATGCATTAATCGGTTGAACTTTGTGATAGTGAACCGTTTTGTTTTCTGTAGGAACTGAATCTTTATTATTTAGGTGAGGTTAATGTAGTGTTTTGTACTGGGATATATTATCTTTCTTTTCCCACTTATCTGTATGAACATTTACAAATAATATCCTAATAGCCTACAGATTCAGAATATTCATATGATGGTCTGTTAATGGCAACAAGACAGAGAGAGATAAACGATTCGAATATGACGCAACAAAATCGATTCACTTTGTATATGTTTGTGGTTGCTTGTTAAGTAACCGCACACACTGGTAAACCAATAATTACACGCCAGACAGAAAAAAAGGGCAGCGGTTAGGATCCGGATAATTAATCTCGCTTCGCGTTAAACCTGTTGCAAATTTCTGTCCGCATGCTGAGGCCTTTTAAGTTTCGAAGTGAGAGCAAATGCACGCACTCATCGGTGATATGGTGATTTCATAAATATGTTTTTTTATAAAGTGTCTCGTGTCGAGATGCATAAATTTGTATTAGAAGAATTTTCTCAGCTTTAATTTGAAACACGTTTAAATTTAGGTTTTTCTGAGGGGAAACTTAAATCAGTACACGAACTTGGTAAGGGTTGGACGTCCGAGGTTCGATTCCCAGTAAGGCAGACATGTTTCTCTTCGCCACCGTTCTGTCCAAACTTGGGATCCTTATCTCAGGTGTGAAGCGACTTTGCTGGGAAAATGTTCAGTCGCACGAAGTACTGTCAAAGTCTGTAAAGCGTGGACGAGTTTCCTCCTATAGGTTTTTTTTATGATTTTATCTTACATTTTTATGTTTAATGTATTATATCTAATACAATACAAAATATAAAAGTGCATGTACTATTGTGTAAAGTAACAGTCGGAATACTTAGGCGCGAAGAAAATTGTCTCAGCAAGAAGAGACCACTAGTTTGTGTAACTCCACATTAATCATGTCTGTCAACCTCTGAAATAAAACAGGTGCTATAAAGTCTTGCTTTCTGTTCTTGTTTTATCTTCTGAGAAGGGTTTGTCGGGGGAACAAGTATTCTGCAAATGCACACAAGCAGAATTTGTCTAGAAATAAACTTCTTTACGTAAATCACAACACTAAGCATTGGATATTTCTTTTTTTCGCTGTATTATTTGTTGTTTCCATCTTCGAACTCTTAGGGATTGAAGAATGTACAGCAACGCCGTCAGACAGCTTACATGAATTCTACGAATCCCTTTAATAAAATTCCATTACTTGGATTTTGGTTAACGCTGTTACGTACACAGAAAAGGAACTGGAGAAACGAGTTTGCTGTTGAACTTCAAATCCTCATTATTCCTAGCACATCAAGATTTGCAGTGACGTCACTCCGTGTATCTGTGTCTCTGTCTGTCGCAGGAGCCTGAAGGGGAATCGAGAGCTGAAGACCATCGAGCCCAGTGCGTTCGTGGGACTGCGCAGCCTCAGAGACCTGTAAGTACCGGCTCGCTACTTTGCTGACCTCATCTTCTCTTTAATTACAAAAGAGCCACAAGCTGCCACGTGTCCTGGCGACTGTTGGTTTATGCTCCGTGATCATCAGATTTGGCTTCGTAAAGAAATTCTTTTAGCGTAAGCTTCGGGGTAGACTGAACGCATGATTTATGAGAGATCTGCCAACTCTCGGATGACTCCCTTTCCAAAATGATGTCCCAGAACTTAACAATAAACCGCCTGTGCCTTTCGAAGCTGCTACGGATATTTATAGACAAACAAACAAACAAAGCGTTAGCATTGTACTGTGCTGTAACTTCGCCGTTCTCAGTTAAACGTTAGAGTTTATTGTCAGTGATGACAGTCATGAGGTTTATCCTTCTTTCCTAGTTTTGTTCTGCCTTTCTCTGTTTCGCTGTTCCTTTGTTTCATTATTTGAAGAAGCTGTATCAGTTGCATAGGTTTGCGTTCCTATGTACGCGTACCTCGTACTTGCTGTCTTCTTCAGAAGAACTTCTAAAAGCTGTGTGATGATAGCAATTCTTTTAAAATAAAATATTCCGTCATATCTTGGTGAGAACTTAGTCAGCCATGCTTAACACATATAGCGACAAACAGCAGCTAACCTTGTGGTTCGAGGAATGGATTAGAATGTGGAGGGGCTGCGGTGTTATCTTTGTTGCTGACACAAGACGTGAAAATTAATTATACAAGTCATTACAATGACAGTCACGTAAAGTATCGAGCAGAAGCGTCAGTGGGCAAAGTGGAGACACGTCGTTGCTTCCATGTAAGGAACTCCACGTGTTTCAAGGCAGCGCTGCTTTACTGACGCGTGAAGTCGGCTGGTGGTGTATCCCTATGTTGCAGGGACCTCTCTGAAACGTCAATTTCGCAGATGCCGACCCTGGGTCTCAAGGACCTTGAGGTACTCCGCCTGCAGGACACTGACAGCCTCAAGAAGTTTCCCTCCATATACAAATTTGAGGTTAGTAGCCACAGTGCGCAGAGTAAAACAGTGTTATGGCTTTGACAACAGATTTCAGAATAAAAAGCAACACACACTTGGAGCTTTTAGGCAAATCAGAAATATCTTACTTCATGCTTGTGGGAACAGAAAAGTTGATGTTTTATCTCTTCAGATATTTGAAAATAAGGGTGAGGGGGGATTAAACGTGTATGTTTCTCCGTGTCATTTTGTGTATCTGATATAGTGGATATTGGAACACAGAGAAAGCAACAAGCAGTGTTTACGGATCTGTAGTTTCTTCAAGAGACTTTAATAAAATGTTACTCTGTGATTTAAGTCATATGTAAATTTAATTTAATAATCGGAAACAACGTAAGAAATCGAGTAGGTCGATTTACGTCTGACTCAACTCGACAGTGTTGCGAAGGAAGATCAGAATCACCTGATATTTGACATTAAATACAAAGTCGATGTTTCTATGCCCAGTTCCCTTTACTTTTCATAAATATAATGCTAAGAAATCGACTGACATGTTTCCCTTCTATTGTGACAGTAAGGAATTTGAAAAGCACAGAGCAGTTTCCTGTTTTAGCTGAAGCTAAAATAAAAAATCGACATTTTCTCTCAAACGATGTTTGTCGTACAGAGCATTTGGACATGAACTTTACGTACGTCTTTCATGTGAAACATTTTACGGTGTGGCGAATTTGTAACAGAATGTAAGAAAAACAATTTATGACTATTCTATGTATATTTAGTTTTGTTGCTAATTTAAGCCATAGCCAAAATCAGAGGGCGATTTATTTTAATAAATTGTAAGAACAGTGAAAGTACATAGAGGCTAATGAAGTTTGTGTTGGACGTAGATGGCCTTGACCTCGTCGCTCTTTTCCAGTACCTTCGGGTGGCCTGGCTGACGTACCCCTACCACTGCTGCGCTTTCCAGTTTCCAGCCACGCACCATCCGAAAGAGTTTGCTGAGCACGAAGTAAGCTTACGGCTGAAGGAGTGAACAGGAACTGGACACCTTTGGATTCCTGAAAATGAAATTGAAATTAAACTCGTTATTTTTTTTTATATAGGAAATATCTATGTTTATTTCTCGCTTTAGTGATGGTAACTTTCAATGGCGTTTGATGTGTATTCACCACTTTTCTTATACATGCAATATAGTGATATAGTCTACTCTTAGGCCGTTTATGCTTGAAAACGATCATTCACTTCAAATCTATACTATCCAAGGTTTTGTATGATGATAGGTCATTAAATTAGACATATAGTAAGTAATTTAACATTATTTCGATACTTCATACAAGAAGTCATCTTGAAACCACATATTACATATTATTTATTCGTGGTTTACTTACGAATTTTTACAGAAGTTATTTAGCTTCGAACCGTAGAATTGTTAACTGGAGCATGATAAAAAAATCTGTTTTTGAACTTCCAATAATGTAATAGTAACAAGTTACTCTGTACAAAATGTTGGCTTTTTTAACGACGCTGCCAATTCCTCAGCTATCAGCGTCAAATGACAAAATGATTAATGAATAGGGAATTGGTTTGTGTTACCTTACCTAGAAGGACTGTGAAAATCCACGAAAATTCTGAGTCAGGATAGCCAATCTCTAGGCCGTGATATAAACCGGGATCTCTAAAATAAATCACAGGAATGCTAACCGTGTCATAGCTACATTTTTCAGTATGTACGTGAATTTTATAAACATATTTCTGATCTTTGTTACAGTGCTTTGTGTTCAGTTCCCTGAATTTATTGAAATCTCAAATCCCAGCCTTTCAAAATGATGGCGAATTATGAATAAGTAGCCAGTACATAACAAGGAATAGCCTATTATATCCTGTTTTATAGTCGTTTCTATAAAATTTAGCGTTACAAGTCATGGTCGAAAATTTTCAAGAATTCGATGAGTTATACTCAGACGTTTTCGATAGACGGATGCAAAATTCATTTCAACTGCTGTACCATGTTACCGGGTTGCAGCGATTCGTGGCGCTGATCCACAACAAGTACTGCAGCACCGCGGCGACCGGTTCTCCTCTGCCCCACAGTCTGCAGCGGCGTGACAACGACGATTTTGGTCGCCTCGTGTACTCGCCCGAAAACCTGACGTACCAGCGTCATTCTCCGGACTGGGGCGCCTTCGACCGCGACATAGACAGGCCTGGTGAGTCAGTCCAGATAGTCTGATTAAAACTGTGATACAAAAACGAAAACTAAAAACCGAACCACAGCCAGGAAGGACTGGAGTTCAGCGCTCTCCGCCACTGAGTGATATCGCAAATGTTTACAGGCTGCTATCGCTGGATACTCACGGGGAGACCCGGGTTCAGTCCACGGTGACTTCGTGGTGGATGAACTGGTAGTGGTTTCTCTGTGATTTCTTCGGATATATCATTCCACAATTTTTCCATACTCAGCTACCACTGTCGCGTGATTTGTGCTACAGCCCTGAAGAACCAGAACATTATATACCCTCGGCTACACGTTCGGCACTTTGCTGTTCTCAGAAAAAGACTATTTAG